TAAAGGTGAATGAATCAATTCACACACACACATACACACACACACACACACTCTCTCACACACACAAAAAAAACAAACAAACAACAACAACAACAAAAAAAAAAATCGGGGAGGGGGGGAGAGGAAGATATAACAACCACAATTTTTTTTGAAGTTCTTACAACAAGCAAATGGAGGGGACACACTTGGGTGGGAGGGGGGAGAGGGAGGAGGGAGGGAGGTCTCGGTGATGGGACATAATAATCAACTACATTGTATATTGACAAAATAAAAATAATAAAAAAATAAATAAATAAAAATTAAAAAAATTTTTCACTAAAACATTTTTAATTAACAAAATTTGACAAAAAATTCTTTAGTAGGTCACCTTTGTGAAATAAAAAGGAGAAAATAAGAATGTGTTCTCAGCCGCTTTTATTTGCATAAAGAAACCCTAATCATACAGAGAAAACAAACTAACACGGTTATATGTATTAGAAGGAGCTGAGCAGATAGCAGAAAGATAAATAAGAAAGTTTAGACTATATAGTTTTTTATATTTTAAAATTGTTTAAGCCATGTGTCTATATTATTATTCAAAAAACTAAATTAAAAAAACTATTACTAATATCCCTAAAGTGAAAAGATGCTGTATCCATAAAACAAAAAATACCATGCTATTAAAAGGGAATATTCTGAAAACAAAAAGAGCTATTTAAAATAAAAAAATATATAACAATAGGCTGGCTGGTTAGTTCAGTTGATCAGAGCGCGGTGCTGATAACACTAAAGTCAAGGGTTCAGGTCCCTGTACCAGCCAGCCACCAAAAAACAAAACAAAAAATTACATAACAGCACTAATGAGAGACACAAAAGAATATTTGGAAGGTAAAGCTTTTTTAAAAAAACTACTAGAAAAGAGAGCAAAAGAGATGGAAATGGAAATCAGTAAAGCCAAGAAAAAAAAAAAAAAGGAAGATCAACAACCAAATGAGAAGAGTTTTTTGAAAAGCAGAGAAAACGTGTATCTAAGCAGAAAAGGGCTAGGAAGATCCTGGAAACAGCCTTTTAAGATTTTGCACAAAAATAATTTCCAACCTAGAATTATATATTCAGCCAAAAAGGCAAATTAGTGTAGGGTCAAATAAACATATTTCCATGGCATTAATGTTTATATTTCTATAAATATATGTATACAGTTGTATATATTAAATATATTTTTGCATGAAAATTTCAGACATACAAAGTTTCATAAAATTTACCCATCCTGCATCCATTTTCAAGGATATACTAGAGGATGTGCCCCACAAAATGAGGGGGCAAACCATGAAGGAGGAAGACACAGGCTCCAGGAAACAGGGGATCTGACACAAGACAGAGGTAAAGGAGACTTCCTAGGGGACAGCGAAGGGAAGAGGACAAGATCACAGCTGTGTGTCAAGCTGAGAGAGCAACCAGTCCAGACTTCAGCAAGTCAACAAGCTCCAGGAGAGAGTTCTTCAGAGAGAAGACATTGATGCTCAGAGTTTAGAGCAGCCCCACCTATTACTAGCTTTGTAAACTTGGGCCAGATAGTTTTTCTGTATGCTCCAGTTTTCCCCTCTATGAAATGGGGATGATAATGGCACCTACTTCATGAGATCGTTGTGAAGATGAGTTAATACATGCAGAGTGCATATAATAGTGCTGGGCACGCAGTAAACATTGTATGAGTGCTTGTCATTATCATTGCTGTGATTATTAACTAATGTGTGTGATTATATGGAGAGGAGAGCTAAACACCTGGGAAGAATTTGGAGTTGAATTATTGATATATAGAGAGTAAAGCAAACAAATGATGAAACCAGAAAATTATTAATTCCAGGGAAAAGAAAAAGCTGTGTGGAAACAGTAATTACAGCATGGATACTATAAATCGTCACAGTAATAAATACTGGCTGTGGATCTCACCAAAACAATGATATACCTATTTTAGTAGGATGGGGTTATGTGAGCAGGAGTGCATAGAAAAGCTAACTACCTTCCACAGTAGAAAGTCAATAGATAATGCCTAAAACTTTCAAAACAATATTAAAAAGATTAAGAAAAAAGATTAAAAGTGCCTCTGGGGAGCTGGAATCTGGGGGAAAACAAAGCAGAGAAGAGCCGTTTTTTAAAACAAGATTTAGAGAACAATTTGATACCTTTTACCACTTGTAAACAAAACTAAAACCTAATCGCAAATTACAAAATGGCAAAAAATATTCACAAAAATATACAATGATAAAGGGTTATTAACCTTGATATTTAAAAAAAAACCTCTTTAAAATCCACATGCTAAGATAAATAAATCAACAATGGACAGGAAAAGGAAATTCACAAAAGAGAAATAAATGACTGATAAAAATGTGGGGGGAAAATCATCCAGCCTGGTAAAAACAAATGAAAATGAGATAGTATCTTTTCTCCAGGCTCTGGAGCTCTGGATAACTTTCTGCCCCCAGGCACCTCTTCCTTCTCCTCACCTCACAGGTGCTGCCACGTCCCCCTGGCTGGGGAGAGTCTCCGTCAGCTGCCATGTTCTCACTGGACCTCAGCCCTGGGCTCTCTTGCTGACAATCGGCTCTTCCCAGGAGCTCAAAGTCTGGTGGGGTATGTCAGAAGATCCTGCAGCCTTCACTGTGGGGTCTGGCCCAGGGACCCTGCAGGGACTCAGGAAACCTGGAAAGACAGTTTCCATACAGTCAGAGTCATTTAGGCCTCACCACACAAACATTTCCTGGGAGCACCAAACTACAGTTCACTGCACTGGACACTGTGGGGTAGACAAAGTCCAGTAAACATGTACTCTAGTTATTAATCACAATGGAATATGAGTGAGACCATGAAATTTGGACTAAAATTAATAAACATTTAAATTCTAGCTCTGCCAACTTTTAGCTGTGAGAATATGAAAAAGCTTCAGTTTTATTTTTCAAAATGAATCAAAATTCTTTATCTCAAGTTGTTGTAAAAATTAAATGAGATGATGTTTGTAAGATACTTAGCACCGGACTGGCACAAGGTAAACATTTAATACATATCAGCAAGTACTGTTATAATAACAGAAGCAGGTACCTCATTTAATTTTCACAGCAATCCTATCATCTATGTGTTGCTATAATTATTATTATCTCATTTTACGTATATAGAAGCAGAGGTTTAGTGGTAAGTCAAATGCAGTTTACCTGGCTCCAAAGTTCATGTCCTCAACATTATATCACATGGTACCTTTTACATGGTAGTCTCAACATAAACATGGTTCTGTTTAATAGATATTGAAAATGTGAGTGTGAATTTGCATTAAAAAGTTAGGTAAAGTTTCTTGAAACAGAAGAGGCATGCCATGAGGAAAATATTAATAGCCTGGGAATAAAATTTTTAAATTACCTCAAAAATATCGAGGTAAAAGTATTTTTCCTGTTGAAGGAACTAGGGAGGACAGTGTGTCTCTGTGTCCAAGCTGAGATACAATTTTGTTCCAATCAACTAACAGAGGCACTATAGATTTAGTCATTCTTGTTAGGAGAGGGAAAATATCCACTTAAAATGAAGAGGAACTTAATTAAAACAACAGAAGTAAAAAATGAGATGAAGAGGAAATAAGATAAAAGCATGAACAAGTTAAATTTTAAAAACATAAAGAGGATGTTGGAACAAAGAGGGAATATGCTTTCTTCTCTTATACCCATGAAACATTTACAAAATCCCTTCAAATAACCTGACCACACAGAAAATCTGGTAAATGTTTTAATGTTGGGAATCAACAGGCTACATTCTCTGATCACAGCATAAGATGTTCAACACCATTAGGGAAATGCAAATCAAAACCAAAATCTTCCATTCATTAGACCACTCACATCCATTAAAATGGCTAAGATAAGAAAAAAAGACAACAACAAATGTTGATAAAATGTGAATAAATTGGAGCTCTCATACATTGCTGGCAGGATTGTAAAATGGTACAGCCACTCTGAAAAACAATTTGGCAGTTCCTCAAAATGTTAACCATAGAGTTACCTTATGACCCAACAATTCCACTCCTAGATACCTACCCAATAGAAATGAAAACACATGTCCACTCCAAAACTTGTAAACAAATGTTCACAGCAGCATTATTTATAGGAGCCCAAAAGTGGAAACAACCCAAATGTCCATCAGTTGTTGAATGGATAAACAAAATTCAGTTTATCCATACAATGAAATACTATTTGGCAGTCAGAAAAAGTACTGATACATGCTATACTATGGATGAAACTTGAAACCACTATCCTAAGTGAAAGAAGCCAGTCAAAAAGACCACATATTTTATGATTCCATTTAAATGAAATGTCCAGAATAGGCAAATCTATAGAAACAGAAAATAGATTAGTTATTGCCTAGGGCTGGGGACATCTGTTAATGAGGACATGGTTTCTTTTGGGGATGTGGAAAGGTTCTAATATTAGATAGTGGTGATTTAGGCAACAAAAGCAAAACTAAACAAATGGGATTATATCAAGCTAAAAAGCTTCTGCACAGCAAAGGAAACAAGCAAAAGAATAAAAAGACAACATGCATATTGGGAAAAAATATCTGCAAACTATGCATCTGATAAAGAATTCGGGGCCGGCCCGGTGGCGCACTGCTACAGTGCACCGCTTGGGAGCGCGGCGGCGCTCCTGCCGAGGGTTCGGATCCCACATACAGATCGGTTCCCGCTCACTGGCTGAGCGAGGTGCGGGCGCAACACCGAGGGTTGCGATCCCGTTGCTGGTCTGGTCCGGTACGGGCACGACACTGAGGGTTGCGATCCGTTGCCAGACACAAAAAAAGACAAAAAGGAAAAAAAAAAAAAGAATTAATATCCAGAGTATACAAAGAGCTCACACAACTAAATAGTAAAAAAACAAATAATCCTATTAAAACAATGGGCAAAGGAGCTGAATAGACATTTCTCAAAGGAAGACATACAAATGGCCAACAGATACATGAAAAAATGCTCATCACTATCATCAGAGAAATGCAAATGAAAAACACAATGAGATATCATCTCACCCCAGTTAGAATGGCTATTATCAAAAAGACAGAAAATAACAAATGCTGGCGAGGACTTGGAAAAAGGGGAACTCTTACACACTGTTGATGGGACTGTAAATTAGTGCAGTCATTATGGAAGACAGTATGGAGGTTTCTCAAACAACTACAGATAGATCTACCATATGATCCAGCAATCCCACTACTGGGTATATACCCAAAGGAAAGAAAATGAACATGTTGAAGAGATACCTGCACTCCCATGTTTATTGCAGCTAGATTCACAATAGCCAAGGTTTGGAACCAACCTAAATGTCCACCAACAGATGAGTGCATAAAGAAAATGTGACAGATATATATACAATGGAATACTACTCAGCCATAAAAAAGAATGAAATTCTGCCATTTGCAGCATCATGGATGAGCTTGGGGAAAATTATGTTAAGTGAAATAAGCCAGGCACAGAGAGAGAAATACCACATGTTCTCACTCACATATGGAAGCTAAAATAGTTGATGTTATAGAAGTAGAGAGTAGAATAGTGGTTACTTGAGACTGGTAAGGGGAGGGGAGTGGAGGAAAGGGGAAAGGATGGTCAATTGACCCAAAATTGTAGAGAGATAGGAAGAATAAAATTTGGTGTTCTATACCAATATAGGAACACTACAGTCAACAACAAATTACTGTATAACTTCAAGTAGTTGAGAGGATACTGAATGCCCTAACATAAAGAGGTGACATATGTTTGAGGTGAATGGATATGATAAGTACGCTGGCATGATCATTGAACACTGTATAAATGTACCCAAATATCACATTGCACTCTATAAATATATACAATTATCATGAGTCAACTAAGAAAAAAGTATTTTAGAGACAGAAGTAGATTAGAGGGTAACAGAAACTGGGGGAAGGAATAATGAGAAGTTATTGCTTACTGGGTACAGAGTTTATGTCTAGGATGACAAAAACGTTTTGGAAATAGATACAAGTAGTGGTTACACAGCATTGTAAATGTAATTAATTCCATGTGATTATATGTTTAAAAATGCTGAAAATGGCAATCCTTATGTTATATACATTTTGCTACAATAAAAAAATAGAAAAAAAAAAGTTTTTCTCATAGAACTAGAGAACAGAATAATAGTTACCAGAGGCTGGGAAAGGAAGGGGGGGGTGGAAGGAAGAGGTGGATTAATGAGTACAAAGTTACAGGTCGGTAAAAAGAATAAGTACTGGTGTACTAGGCTGACTATAGCTAACAATATTATATTGTATATTTCTTTTTTTTTTTTTTGTCTTTTTGTCTTTTTTTTCGTGCCCGGCAACGGATCGCAACCCTCAGTGTCGCGCCCGTACCGGACCGGGACCGGCAACGGGATCGCAACCCTCGGTGCTGCCCCTGCTCCTCGCTCAGCCAGTGAGCGGCCGGTCTGTATGTGGGATCCGAACCCTCGGCGGGAGCGCCACCGCACTCCCAAGCGGCGCACTGTAGCAGTGCGCCACCGGGCCGGCCCATATTGTATATTTCTAAATAGCTATAAAAGAAGATCTTGAATGTAACCATCACAAAGAAAAGATCAATGTTTAGGTGATAAATATGCTATCTCCTAAGTGAATCATTTTACAATGTATACATGAATTGAAACAACATACTATATCCCACAAATATGTATAATTTTTTTAAAAAAGATTGTAGTGATGGCTGAATAACTCTGGAATATACTAAAAACCACTGAGCTGTATACTTTAAATGAGTGCATTTTTATGTCATTGAAAAATATCTAAATAAACCTGTTTTTTACAAAAGAAAAGGGAACTTTGTCCTAAATAACCCAGGATCAAAGTGGGAAATCAATACAGAAGTTATGAAATGCAAAGTTGTATAAAGTGGAATTTACAGCTTTAAATGGCTTTTTTTCATATATTTTTTAAATTCTTATTTTTTTCACTGTACACGTTTATAGGGTACAATTGGTTGTTTCAATACATGCATATATTGTATAATCTAATCTGAATAGTTAGTATATCTATCAACTAAACATTTATCATTTCTTTGTGGTTATAACATTCAAGATCCTCTTTTCTGGCTATCTTGAAATATACAATACAATATTATTAGCTATTGTCACCCTAAGGCAACAGAATTTATTCTCCCTACCTAACCATAACTTTTTACCAGTCTACTAACTTTTCCCCGCCCCACCCCTCTGCCTCTGGTAATCACTATTCTACTCCCTATTTCTCTTTTTAATTTATTTTTCTTAATTGGCCCATGATAATCATATATATTTATGGAGTACAATATGATAACTGGGTACATTCATACTATATGCAATGATCACATCAGGGTGCTTAGTATATCTATCACCTTAAATATTTGTCACTTCTTTGGGTTAGGAATTTTTAACTTCATCTTGACTAGCTATTCAAAGATAGGCAGTACTTTGTTATTAACTGTAGTCTCCGTATATTACTATAGACACTGACCATCCTCTCCCATCCCCCTCCCCCTTCTCCCCCA